GGGCGCTATCTAACATCTATCGATGACGCATTTGAAGAAAAGCTCGATAACATAGCAGTGCATGCGATAATTCAATTTCTTATTCTCCTATTCTCCTGCAAGATCTTCATTCTTTATACTTTGTATTACATACTCTTGTTTACACTTTACTTTACCATCTTTTTGTGTTACCGTCGTTGCCGTTAAAAAACCTCGTATGTAATATTTATACTTGTTGTGGAAAATTTTCTCAGAAAACAAATTAAATGAATTCAATTCAGTAACCTCGTACACAAATACAAAGTCGAGGATAATGCGACGGTGCTTCGACGATTGAAGATTAATTCTAGACGTTATAGCCGAGTAGTCGCGATCCGGACAGAGGGCATAGGACGACCTGATTTGTAAGAAAATTCACGCAAACGTTTGTCCAGACAATTGCGAGCACTATCCAATTTCGAGGCGAACAAAAGGATCGTATAAATTTAGCGCGATCACGCCGTTTGTTTCGCCGGCAATCTCGGCAGCAATATTTTATTATCGATAAATTCAGGGTCGGTAGCGCACCCTTTCGCGATTGTGTACAAAATGGTAGGAGTTTGTGACGAGCTTTTCACGGGCCGCGATGAATCGCGAGGCCTTCGACGAAGCAACGTTTGCAGACTGAAGCTGAAAGAGATCGAAATTGTCGGTACACACGGGTTGGTTATCCGTCGCGAAACAAGAGATCCCCGGGACGAGAGGCTCGGGTTCAAGATGAATAGAACCGTTTGCGAACGGGATGAACCGCATGGACGCGTAGCCCTGCGGTGCGTCATCGATTTCTAGCTCAAGGCGACACGACACGCGTTTACTTTTCAGCGTGCGTTCAAAATCGCCGAGAGGCCGAGTCCACGGGTTACGAGCCCGCAGACAACAAGATTCCCAGAATCCTCTCTCGAGTAGCGTCTCCGCGGTGCAATTGAACCTCGCCCGAACGACGCTCAAATTTCACTTGTTACGCAAATACATCTCGGAAATGGAACTTCAAACCGGGCGACCTCACTTCGCTACTCCGTTTCTCCGTCCGCGACTCGTTAAAATTCTCTTATGACCCCTTCAAATTATTTAAAATTCGTCCACATAAAAGAACATGAATTTGTTAATTGTTTATCGTCAGTCACCGGTGACTGAAACGGCGTCCGACGTGATGTGACAGATTCTATTTAAAACCGTGTTCTATAAAAGGAGAAAATATGTATTCAACGAATTCCCGGAGCGAACAACTCCGGGTCAAGACTGATTGATATCAAGAAGAAGAAAAAAAAGGTAAGCAGAATGAGGACCACGCGTTGCTATGGCAAAAGTGGGAGATTTCCCCATTCGGTCATCAGGTTTTAACCCTTTGCACTCCGCTGTCCCCTCTCGTGGGACATCGTAATTCTAGCATATCGCTCGGATGTCCCCTCTCGTGGGACATTCAAGTTTATTAGCGATTACGGGGAATCGAGTTATTTCAGCGCAACTTTTTCAGACACGCATGTTTCCCTGAAGTTTTCTCTTGAAACGGCGCAAGAAATCGAATCAAAATATGGTAAAATTACCAAGCTATATACAAGAAATGTCAGCGGATTTTGACGAGAACGCGAGAGGCGTGCTCGCGACGGTCCGAGCACTTCGAAGGCGCCATTTGAAAAGAGCGATAAGGCAGATTTGTAGAAGAAAAATCGGTATGCGAACGTAGCACGCACTGTACAGCGAGATTTATAATCATAAAATCTGGAGGAAAAGATTTTCAAAGCCGAACTCGGTCTGGTTCGAAGCGTCGAGCGGTATAGATAGATCTAACGAGTGAGAAAATCGGAAAAGTGATTCTTCTCTTGGTAAATAAATTGTTTGGTGAAAGTTTTTTTGGTAAATATCATCTTGCGAGTTAGTAATAACGATTAGAAATTTTCAACCTATGTATTTATTC